CTGTGCATGCTCCTAGGGGAGCTGGCTGTAAAAGTCTGGGAATGGAGACAGACAGCACATGGTGGTAATTGGAGCCCTGGGAGGAGAGGAGGTGACCCCCAGGGAGGGAAGAGAAGAAAGGGTGAGATCCAAAGTCTTAGGAAGTACCAACAGTTAAGGAGAAGGGTAACGAGGTCTCAAGGTTGGACTCAGAGCCTGTGGGCCCAGCTCTGCTGGCAAATATGCCTCAGCCTTGACTGTCCTCAGGACCTCAGCTGCCAAACTCCCCTGGAAGGCAGTGGCCCACTGTGTCCTGGAGATGGAAAGGGTGTGGACAGCCATGGTGTGTGTCTGAATCACCCCCTTCTGTCCCTTGGCCCTTGGCCATCCTCCTCCAGAGACCAGTGTGATGTCAGACCTGGGATGACCTAAAGGTGTGGGGTTGCCTGTGCAGTTCCCTCTGGGATGAGGTCCCAAGGGGAACCAGCCTGGCCTTGGTCCAGAAGCTTAGGCCCTGTGCACAGAGGGGTGAGCTGAGGCTGATCAGGCTTGGTGGGGCTGGAATGTGGAGGCAAGATAATTCTCTGGCTGGGAGAGGAGTCATAAGCCCCCTCTTCTTTCCTCCCTAGTTTGTTGTTTTCCCTCTAGGGCTTGGAAAAGAGGGAAGGCAGAGGTGGGAAAGGGCTGGCCTGGAGGTGGAGTTGGCATATATTCCTGAGAATACGGTAGATTGTTTTGGAAAAATCCTCTTGGCCGGAAATTACATGTCACGTCTGCTTCTCAGTGTGGATTTGTCACTTCACTGATGCTTTGGAGAGCCTGGGAGAGGGGCGTAGACAGCAGAGGCAGGCTGATTCCTAACCACTACCCGCTCCCATTAGAGACAAGAGGGCAAGTTGTAAACCAGAGGGAATACATGTGGGGTAGATTCCCCAAATCTTAGAGGCAGTTTGGATTTTGTGGATATCCTGTAACAGGATGGCATTAAGAGGCAGGGGGCTTATGGAGGGAGGAGGCAGGGAGAAAGCAGGAAGGCAGAATGGTTTGGATCAGACCCTTTATCCAACCAGGAGAAAGAAGAGATAGGTGGGCCTGGCATTTTCAGCCTCTCTCCACAGCCTTCTGAGTTTGGGTTCCTGCAGCTGCTCCTGAGGCCACTTTCTGCCATAGCTGCAGTAAGGTGCAGAGGAGCTTCTGCCTAGAGTAGACGCCCTTCCTGGCACAGGGTCGTCCCCTGCCCTGGGGTGCTTCAAGATGGAGAAGGAGCTTTTGAAGAGAGTGAGCCTTATGGAAACTCACCTAGTGCCCTCTTGGGGTCTCTTTTCAGTCTTGAGTTTGAGTGTGTGTGTAGGAGGGGGTGGGGAGTAGAGAAGTCTCAGCATTTCCCTCCTGCTCTGCCCCAAACCCCAAGGGGTGAGGGTGCCCTGAGATCAGCCCTAAATACCTGGTACTCAGGAGTCGGTGGATGCTTCAGATGCCATGAGGATGAGAGAGTGTGCTTGTGGCACCCTGGGGCCCTTGGGGTAAGAGAGAGAGGAAGAGCCCCTGCAGTGGGACTTCCTCCACTAGCAGTGTCCTCACCCCAGCACTGGGTGACAGCCCTGCGTGGACACATGTTGGAGCAGCTCCTCCAGAAGGGAGTGTGGATTCTCGAGGCACTCAGAATCTGAGGCCGGAGAGGTCAGCCCCAGCACTCTGCCAGGCCATGAACGCCCCGTACAGCCGATGCAGACAGCACGGTCTTGGGGGCGGGGCGGGAGGGGGTGGCAGGGAGAAGTCAAGGCCGGCGAGAAGAGGCGTGGGCTGCGCCTGGGCGCGGTCTCCCTCCGGGTTCGGGTGCTGGAGGCGTGGCTTCCACGGCGGGCGAGGAGTGGGCTGGACAGGTTCTCTGGGTGGAGTGCCGAACACACGCGCCAGGGAGCCCGTCAGGTGGGCGCATTATTGGAGCCAGGTGGAGACTTGGCTGGTGGAAGGATAGGCTTCAGGCCCCAACGTCTGGAGGGAGGGGTCTCAGGTCGAGTCAGGATGGAGGTTTCCCCTCTGTGAGCTTCTTGGATGGACTCCCTTATCATGGATATAACTGCCCTTGAATCCCCAGGATCTGATCGGTGACTGTGGAGCTCTGGGGTCCTGGAGACGGCCAGGGGCTGAAGGGAGCTGTGGTTCCGTGGTCAGTGAAGGTGGGGCCCCGCACCTGACTCTCTGGGGACCAGCGGGTGGTGCTGCGCAGCGGAGAAGCGGCTTCTTGGAATGGAGGCTGGGCGCAGGGATTGGGGGAGGGGCGGCAGCAGGCCCAGCAAGACTGACCGCGACCACCCGGCTCCGCTCCTCTCCTCTGACCGCAGGCGGCTGATACGGGGCAGTGGGGAGCGGGCTGGGCCCTGGCTGAGGCGTTTTAACAGCTCCAGCCCCCCTGGAGGATGCTCGAGGCCCAGCCCCTCAGAACGCACGGCAGTGACGGTGACGCTGCCGCTGCCGGTGCGCTGGAGGGGCGGGGGCTGCGAGGGCTCTGCCTACTTCCCTGGCACTAATGCCGGGAGTTTGGGTTCCATGGGGGAGAGATCTGCATATCAGCGCCTGATTGGGGCCGAGGAGGGCCAGCAGGTAATAGGCCCCATCATCTGCCAGTGAGCTGAGGGCAGCCTCTCAGGAGGGAGGGGTGTCTATGCTCCTGGGACCCAGGACAGATCCTGGGGCTGGGAGACTGGGTAAAGAAGGGTGACGTGCTTGTGTGTGGGATGGGTGGGACGAGTCAGTGGTGGTGTGTTCCTGATGCTGACATCTGCTTCAGTGTCTCTGAGTCCCCTGGGAACCGATTAAGCTGCCCTTTGGGCTTGCTTCAACGCTGCATGGGAGCCCCGGAAGCACTGCCAGGATGTGGGTTTAGTCTTCTATGGGCACTGAGCTCCTGTGCCCTGAACCTTGCCTTTTACTGGCTTTATGAATCTGCATATTAAGCCAAATGTCCCTGTTTGCTTTGGAAAATATGAGTATCTTATTTATGGGGCTGCTTCCCTTACTTTAGAAATCAAGCACTTTCTCTCTTGGCCGGCAGAGGGCAGTCACTGACAGGACAAAGTCGGGCAGAAAGGTGGCTGTTTTCCAGGGCTGAGAGAAGGGGTCCAGGAGCTGGCCTGAGCTCCGACCCCTGACCATGCTTTGCTTTTCTTCACAACTTCCCACAGTTGGATTACTGCGCAAGCTCTGAGGCTTGTTCTTACCCAATGTCTAAAGGAAGAGTCAGGCATGCGGTTCTGGTGGATTTGGGGCACATCTTTCAGGTGGTGGTTAGAATTTTCAATCTGGCCACTCCATTCCAGCAGCCCCTTAACTTGTGGTCAGATCCCTGGGTCTCCTTCAGGTGTCTGGTGGGAGGTAGGCAGTAGGCTTCTCTGCTGTGACATTGTCTGCCAGGGTTTGAGGGAAAGTCAGCTCCAGTGTGACCTCAGCCTGACCTTGTCTTGTCCCTTAGCTCTGATTCCAGCCTCAGACTGGTGATTCACTGGGACCGAGGGGAGGCTGCACCTGGCTGGCTGCACAAGCTTTGGGTAGTGGTGGATGACAGGGGGATGGGAAAGAGGGACTGATTGCTGGGGAGTGTCCTATTACTCCCCTCCCTGGGTCAGATCAGGAAATGGCTGTCCCTTTGGGCACTTCCCTGCCAGGGAGGTCAAGCACTGAGAGAGAGGCCTTGGAAAAAGCCTGGGATGCTGACTCCCCAAAACTCTCACTCCAGCTGCCTACTCCGCCAGCCAGCTGGGACTCCCAGAGCTGGTGGCCAGCTGGATAGGGACAAGAGAGCAGTGTGCAAGAAATGGGCTCCCTGGGCTGGGAGGGGGGCGCTGAGGGGGCCTGAGAGGACTTCCTGCAGCTGTCAGGTGTGTCTGGGGGCTGTAGTGAGGGAGAGTGTAAGAGCAGCAGCTGGTGCCCTTGAGGAGGGGCAGAGGGATCAATTGTCAGCTCTAGGAACGTGGGGGGCCCACGGGGGCTTGATCGAGTGTCTCCAGTTCCCTTTTGCTGGGTCTGTTGTCTGTGTAGGTGCTATTCAAGAGACATCCTATAGCCTGGAATCCTGTGGCTTTGAGGTGGGGGCATTGCAGGGTTTAGCTGCATATTTGTTTTGAGGGGGCTTTGGATCTTGGCCAGCTGGTCTGGGGAGGAGGCACCCTGGGCGTTGTGGGCAGCAGACAAGGCAATCTCAGGGGAGGGGGTGGAGATTCCTCACCCCTACTCCACCCCCCTTGCTCTTGGCTGGACTGGCCCACACTGGCAGGCTGCCGGACTCCTATTTCCGTCGGGCACCAGGGTAACAGGGCCACATTAGGGCCGGAGCCAGGAGACGCCTAGCCAAGGCTGGGACTGGGAGATGGGGGAGGGTCTCTAGTGGGTCTGCCTGCAAGGTCCAGAAACGGCTCTCTAGTGTCCAAGCCCCCAACTCAGGCTATGCACTAGCCCTCACAGCCCCAGACAAGCCCATATGGGAGTCTATAACCCCTCTTTGTACACTACTGCTTGATTGACATTGCCCCCACCCTAAAATCGCAGGAGTTGTCTGCAACTATGGGGGCTGGGGTGGAAGCCAGAGACAGGGGGCCTTGTGTATGGGGAGGCAGTGGCGGGGGGGCAGCTCTGGTGGCTGGGAGGAAGAGTCCCCCCATTCCCACTGCCCTCTTGGCAGTGATTCAGAAAGGTCCTTTTTCAGCCAGTGTCAGAGCTGCTCAGCTGGGGCGGGAGGGAAGCAGGAGGGAGGGAGGGCGGGCAGGCAGTCGGGTGGGGGAGCCAGGGAGTAGGGCTGGAGCTCTGACCACTGCACTGGAGAGAAGACAGAGAAACCGGACAGAGGACCCAGGCTACAGCCAACACAGAGAAGAGCTACCTTGCTTCTGCCAGGCTAGCCAGCTGTGGAAACAGCTGTAGAGCAGAGAAAAGGGGATCACCCTATTCTGCTCCATTTCCCACCCCTGGTGTGGGATTTAGGGGACCTCTGGGGCAGACCTCTGGCCAACTTACCTTCTGGGCAGAACCTGAAATTCAGGAGCAGAGACCACTGCCCACCCCCCCCACCCCCTACGTCCTGGGCCAGAGCCCTGGTGACCCCATCGGGGGTCCAGCTCCGTGGAGATGCCAGCAGCTCGTCGGTTCCCTGGCCTCGAGCTCTCCTTCCCTCTTCTGGCCAGACTTCGGCGGAGACTCTACACAGTGAGTGGGGGGGTTGGGGGCGGGAGCCGGACTGACCAGGAACTGAATCAGTTCCTCAGAGCTTCACTAAGGGCCAGAGAGCAGGATTGGAAATGGCTGAGGGCTGCCTCCATTACAGCTCGCCAGGGGTTCAAGGCTTCCCCACTCTGGTGGCTGCGTTCTGGTGGAGAGTGTGTCAGAAAAGCATGTTCGGGGTGGCAGGCGTGCCAGTCACAGGAGCCACACGTGTTAGACATAGGTGTGTGGACTGGGCTGTGCTAGGGGCCACCGCAGCAGTGCTCTGTGCTCCACAAAGATACTGGGGTTGGAGGGGGGCTTAGGGGAATGGTGGGGACTTGTCTAGGGTCACCCTGACTGCTTTCTCACTGGGATCCCAGTGTTCTTTCCCATCTTCTCACACACCCCTACGCAGAGCAGCCTTGTGTCTGGGGTTGGGGAGCAGGGAGAGGAGTACCTAGTGGAGCAGGGAGATTTGTTAGCTGGTATTTCAGGGAAAAGGAACAGGCCAGACTGCTTTCTAAGCAGCTTCTTCAGGGGAGGGATCTCTGAGCCTCCCTCGGCCCCCACCACCCAGGGCAGAGCTGGTTTCAGGAGTTGCTGCCTCCTACTCCCGAGGAGGTGGAATGAGGGGCCCGGAGCCCTGGGACTTGGGGGCTGAGGAGGAAGTGATGGGGGCCCTCAGACCGCTTGCCCTCGTTGCAAGCCCCATGTTGAGCTGAGCCATGTGAGGGGTGGAATCACTTTGCTCCAGGGACAGGAGAGTGGTTCTGGCTGGCCCCGTCTGGTCAGGCTACGGAAAGATGCTGCCTAGGTTAGTGATTTTCACAGGGCACCTTTGGGTTTTCTTCTGGAAAGCGGTGGTACCCTGCCTTCTTAAGCCCACACCCCCTTGTCTGTTAACAGATGGCTTTGTTGAGAATAAGTGAGTTAATATAGCTAAGTGTTTAGAACTTGTGCCCAACATATAGTTAACTGTAGTTGAAGTGTTAGTTAATTTTTATTCTTCTTAAATAAAATTAATAGAAATATAATATAACTTGTTTACTGTGTGTGTGTGTGTGTTTATGTGTGTGTGTGTATTCAGTCAACATAATGCCTCCTGTAACATAAGAGAGATAAGAGGAGATCAGTGATAACATTTCATGTATTCTAATATGTCACTGTGGCATTATGAAGTAGTCAGATGTTAAGACCTCAGGCAGAACCACCACGGAGGCAACATCTACAAGGGCTGACCGAGAGGAGAGTTTTGAAATAATAAGGTTGGGCTGCCTCAAGTGACGTTTTTCTGAATTAGTGGACAACTTTTGGTAAGTTCTAAACAAAACAAAAGACCAGTTTTCCCTCACTGTACACAGTAGTTCTATTCCAGGAAAATTCAGTATGAAAACTGCAAAAATACTTTCTTTTTCATATGGACAGTGGAATTCACTTCTCAAGATGATTATACACAATTTTTCACCTGCATGAATTAAGTTGTGTGAGCTTTGGGACAGTGTGTGAGACTGTGTTCTTGTCCCCCACCCACCCACTAAATACCCTAGTGGTCCCCCAGCATGTGACAATCAAAAATGTCCCCTAGGGGGCTGTACAGCCCTCGTGAGAACTGTCCGCCATCCCAGTAAAGGGTTACGGCTTAAAGTTTGGAAACTCTTCTGGCCCAGCCACCTTGGTGAAGGAGCCAGGATTTGAACTGAGGGCTTCTCGTTCCCATTTGTTGCTCTTTGTGCTGCCTGGGAGAGCCTGAGCTCCTGGCACTGGGTTGGCAGCCCCACTGGGAACTGGGGGCAGGAGACTCATGCTGGTCCTGGGCTGAGAGTGCCTGCTTCTCTTAATATGACCTGTGATGAGAACTGGGGGATGAGCCACCTCTGAGTTGGGAGGAGAGGATCTCAGGGCAGCTGGCCTTTTCGCTCATGTCTCTCTTCTTTGGTGGGGATTGAACACAGGTCAGGGGCTTGACAGGCCCTTAGCTCCGAGGGGTCTTACTCATACAGGGATGGATCTGGTGTCAGGTGAGCGAGGCTGCCTTGCTGTGGGGCTACCACCGGCCTCTTTCTCTGGGCCCCAGAGGGTGTAGGTTGGTGCTCACTCACTGGTGGCCCCTTGGCTGATTGTGGTTTTGTTTGGCCAGCAAAGCATATCCATGTGTGTGCATGTGTGTATTTCAAACTTGAATTAGTTGACATAGTTCAGAAGTCAGGAGGAAGATACAATGTCAAGTGAAAACAAGGAACAAAATGGTGTGGGTTATGGGTGAATATTTGTATGGGGAAAACAAATCTGGAAGACTTGTCAGAGCCCTTATATGTCAGAGCCCTTAATGGCAGCTGACTTGGGGATGGAGAGCTTGGTGGCTGTGCAGTAAGACAGGGAGTGAAACTTTATGGCTCCTGTGTGCCTTTTGAATATTTTACCATGTGCATGTATTACTTTTTCCAAAAAAATTTTTAATGGTAATATTTCACATATTCAGAATTCTGGTATTTTCTTGAAAAAAATTGAAAGCTTTGACAGTACTGGGCCGCAGTCTGTTGTGACAGCTGTTGACTGCAGCTGATTACTGCTGCATCCTTGGGCCACGTCTGAAAGCCCACCCCAGCCTCTGTCCTTCCCTCTCATCTTCCCCTCTTGTGATCCCACAGATGCTCAAGTGGTGGCTTGTGGAGTGGTCTTTGGACGGGGGCAGGGGAGGCTCCTGAGATGTCAGGCATTGGGAGGGACATAGCTGGAGCTCATCTAGTCCCTGTCGGGTCCATCAGGTCTGGGTAGCTCATGGATAGGTCTCAAGGGACACTATCCCTTCCAAAATTGTTCATTAAAACTTTATGAATAAGAATGTATGTATTTTCCTGGAGACACGATTGATAGTTATTCTCAGATTCTCAAAAGGCTTGTGATACCAGGATAGTTTACGAGCCGATGGGAGTGACTACTTCTTATTGTTATAGGGGGAAAGCAGGTGGAAGGGGATAAATTGGGAATTTGAGATTTGCAAATACTACTATATATAAAATAGATTTAAAAAAAACAGATTTCTTCTGTGAAGCACAGGGAACTGTATTCAATATCTTGTAGTAACCTATAATGAAAAAGAATATGAAAATGAATATATATATGTATGACTGAAACATGCTGTACACCAGAAATGGATACATTGTAACTGACTATACTTAAAAAAAAAAAAGCCAATGGAGACCCCTGAGAACAGAGTTTGATCTCAGGCCACTCAGCCATGGATGAGAGATTTGGGGAGTAAGACCCTAACTCCAGGGCCTGGGCTGAATCCCATCTGCTCTAATTCTACCCCTGTTGTCACAGGAAGCAAGCCAGGTGGGTACAGTCTTTTCTGTACAGCTGCTTTGGGAAGCAGGAAGGTGGTTTGAATCCTTCCCTGCAGCAGCGTAGTAGGATGTAGGTGAACCCAGTGCACAGGGCAAGGTCACCTCTTACCTCCCTGCGTCTCATGGTCCCTGAGCCTTTCTTCTCTCCCCACAGAGGCTGGGGAGCAGCAGCATGCAGCCAGAGGAGGGCACAGGCTGGTTGCTGGAGCTGCTGTCCGAGGTGCAGCTGCAGCAGTATTTCCTGCGGCTCCGTGACGACCTCAATGTTACCCGCCTGTCCCACTTCGAGTATGTCAAGAATGAGGACCTGGAGAAGATTGGCATGGGCCGGCCTGGTAGGTGGGGGCGTTGGCCTCACTTGTCATTGCCCCACTGACCATTTACCTCGTCTGTCCTCAGGACTGCCAACCACATGGAAGAGCCCTCCCCACTTTATTCTTTTGGATGGCAGAGCTGAGAACTCTCCCTGCCTATCCGAGAGCCCCCATGGTGGGGCAGTGGGCATCAGTAGATACTGCACACACTGAATGCATGAGACCGGTTTGCAGTTGTGAAGGTGAATTGGAGTTGGAGGAGTCTTATATCTCTGGCTACTCAGGATTAACTGCATACTATGTTTTGTTTGTGCAGATATTTGTAGGATGTGTTTCTTCCATCTCCTCCTCTGTAAATGTAGAGTTGAGGCTGTTCTGTTCACTGTTCAGCACTAGAGGGGTTGATGGCTAGAGATCTGTGTGGAGAAGGGAAGATAAAAACCCTCAGATGGTTTACTTCTTGTCTCTTAATCTCTCTCTTTCTTTTTCTGTCTCTCTCACAAAGATCTGTTCCATAAGTTGAACTGATTTCTTTTTTATGTATTTATCCTAAAAGTAGTGACTGTAGCATCTAGAAGTCACGGTGTTTCTTATAGAACATTAAAAACTTTTTAGTACATTCAACCTAAAATAGCTAAATAAGTAATAATATGCTAAATTAGACACTAATTTATGCTGCTTTTTAGCTTGGAGAGTTGATGTCTGATGCCAGTTACGTAATAAAATTTTGTGGGAGAGAAGCTCAAAATTGGGAAAAATTCTGTCCTTTACCTTGATTTCTTAATTTTTTTCTTAAGAATTGGCATAAGAGCACCACTGTTCAATTTTGGTGGTTAAACACTTCCATTCAGTTTGAGAACCACTGCCTAGAAGTGGAATGCAATGACCCTCTGGTTGATGGCGGCCCCTGGTTGGTGGGGTGACTTGTTTCCTTAGGCAGTATCTAGTGGTAGACTCCCCCAAGGGGGACCGAGGAAGCCTGCAACAGGCAGCAACCTCTGAGGGTTGTGAGTGCCTAAGCAGCACAGGGTTCCCCTTCCTCCCCACAGGCCAGCGGCGACTGTGGGAGGCTGTGAAGAGGAGGAAGGCCATGTGCAAACGCAAGTCATGGATGAGCAAGGTGGGTGGACAAGGAGGGAGGGGCTGCCCACTGGGGCTTGCTCTGATGTTGTCCTGGGAGCTTTCCCCGTTCTTGGCACTATAATCTCGCACTTTGTACAGACCTCCCTCCTCTGGGGTCTTATCAGGCAGGGTACTTTTAGAGCTGCCTGGCTAAGTGTCTGTCTCCGCCAGAGCTGGCACTGAGTGGCCTGTGTGCAGTGGTGGCTTCATGTCCTCTCGTGCTGGGCAGGGAACAGGCGCTCGTTGACAAGTGCGCCGTAACGTGAGCCCTTGCTCTGTCTGAGTGTTGGGGCCGGTGTCCAGTGTGGGGCGGTGGGACTGTCTGGACCTAGGACATCTTTGCTTTCCTGCTCCCCCACCTCCCTAGTCTGTGCAGGGTTTCTCTTGTCCACCGGCCCTGCTGACAGCTTCCTTCCCCCCAGCCTGTCCCCATCCCCCTTGCCCTAATTTGGGTCTGTGGAGTGGTGAGTCCCTGGTGTGACTCAGTGGAACTTTGCCCATTGTCTGGAAGACAATGCGAGAGGAAGTGAACCAGCCGGGCCTTCCCTCCCCACTTCTGGCCTCAGGGCTGAGGTGGGGGGCGGGCAGGGCAGAACAGCTGGACTGGGATTGGGCAGCAGAGATTTTCTGGCTGTGATCTGGCAAAGGGGCTGTCTCTTGGGATCCTGTGGCCTTTTCTGGGGACACTGTTCTGGTCCCTTGCCCAGGTTTTAGGGAAGGATGAGTGTGTTGGGGCTGGTGAAGGCAGAAGGAAAGAGCTGTACTGTGTGCACGATTCAGTCAGGGGGTCTTGGATCTACCACTGACTCACAGGAGGTCCCCAGGCCAGTCAGGGAACATCTCCAGGCTTGAGGCATGTCTTCAGTAAAACCTTGCCGGCCACACTTGCCCAGCTCACCTCTTGGGGCTGTAGGGAGGGTCCCAGGAGAGAAAGGCTGTAAAGGAGCTTGTCAACTGAATGTTGCATGCAAACATAAGGGATTCCAGTTACTGGAAAGAAGGATGGAACGGTGGCCAGAAGAGGCCCTCAGATTGGAGATCCCCTCACTCTATACAGACAAGCCTCTGCCAACCTTGAGGGTCGGGGGCCCAACTGGGCAAAGTGTGTGGCCTGAAGCCAAGGCTTTGCATGCCCCGGTGGGGTGACCAAGTCAAACCAACAGGCCACTCTGACCCTAGGGCTTCCCTCCTGTCCCCTGACCTTTGGCCCCCTCCCTCTCCAGCCCAGGTTACAGAATCCTCTCCAACCTTTCCTCTTTCTGAGCCCTCAGCTCTAGGCTCTCCCTCCAGAAGTCTAGCTGTCTTCCCAGGCCCTCCCCAGTAAGGCCTTGCTTCATCTACCCCGCCCCCCTCCCCAAACACACACTCACCGTCCAACCTCAGGCTCAAATTATCCTCTCACTTGGCAGGATGAAGGGCAGCCGACTCCCTGGGGAGGGTGGAGACAGACAGCGCCAAATGGGCAACTCAGAGAAGGGGCCAGGGCTAAAAATGGTACAGGAGGTGTTTGTGAGGGCCCCTCAGTCTCCTGCCCACCTGCTCGGGTGAGGGGCTGGAGTCTGTGCCGGGTAGGGGTACAGAGAGGGATGAGTGGGGCAGAAGGTGGAGTATGGAGTGGTTTCGGGCTGTTCCTGACCCCACAGCTGGGTGTGGGGCCACAGCAGCCACAGGCTACATGCCTGGCTGTCCATTTCTGGCACAAATCCTGAGGCCTCTCTGGGTAGGGGGGTGGTTCCCGTTTGAGGATGTGGTTGGGAGGGGGCGTGGGCCTCCCAGGGGCTGCCCCCTGGAATTTTGGCTAAGCTAGGACCTGGAGGCCTAGCTGAGGACCCGGTGGGGCAGGACTGAGTGACTAGCTCTGGGGCCTCAGGGTTCCATCTGGCCCCTGGCTGCCTTCAAACAGATGTTCAGTGGAAAGCGGCTGGAGGCTGAGTTCCCCCCTCATCACTCTCAGAGCACCTTCCGGAAGACCTCGCCTACCCCTGGGGGCCCAGCAGGGGAGGGGTCCCTGCAGAGCCTTACCTGCCTCATTGGGGAGAAGGACTTGAATCTCTTCGAGAAGCTGGGAGATGGCTCCTTTGGTGTGGTGCGCAGGGGCGAGTGGGACGCCCCCTCAGGGAAGACGGTGAGCTTTCTGGGTCCTGTGGGGTGGCTGAGGGGAAGGCTCCTAAGGAACTCTGGCAGAGGCCACACTCTGCCCTCTAAGGTGGATCTGTCCCCTCTCCTGGGATGTGAAGAGGGATGGGGACAGATCCAGCGTGGCCTGTCCTAGGGTCCATCCGTGCTCAGGTTTAACTAGACACGTCTATTTCTTTTCTCAATTGTAAAACTAATTTACTTGTAATAAAAGTTTGAAAACTTTTAAAAATAAGGAAAAAATTGCCTGTAATCCCACCACTCAGAGGAAATAGAGTTAGCATTTCCACCCTTTTCACTCCTCAGGTATTTTGTTGAATTTAATTAAGATACAAATTTTGAATTCAATTTTTTAAATCTTGCCCTTTCATCTTAGTATAGTATTTAAAATTTTTTCACCCAGAGGGATAGATAGCATGTGCGCAGTAAAGCATACAGTTCTTGAGTATGCAACTCAGTGAATTTTCACCTGTGCATGGGCCCGTGCAACCACCACCCAGATTGGGATATAGATTGGGATCTCTATCACCCCGGAACCCCTCAGGCCTCTTCCTCTGAGTAGTCCCTACCTGAATGCTCCCTTGAGTATTCCCCTTCCCAGAATAGGGAAACCACTCTTCTGACTTCTGTCACTGTAGATTAATTTTATGGCTATATATATATATATAAGCTTTGTGGGGGGTTATTAGGTTTATTTATTCATTTTTTTTAATTGAGATACTGAGGGTTGAACCGAGGACCTCATACATGCTAGGCATGCACTCTACCACTGAGCTATACCCTCCCCCATGGCATTATATTTAAAGCATTTTCCTTCTACACCAAAAATATTTTTTATTGCAACACTTTAATATCCTATCATCATGCCTCATCTCTTCCCTTATGGTAGTCACCCAGGCATTCCCATAGGAACAGGAGGCCTAGCTTGTGGCCATTGTGGGTCAGCCACCTGCCCTCCCCTAACCAGGCCACAGGCTTCTGTGACACACTCACCCCTCCAGATGAGCAGGTCTGAGTCAGGGGTGTTTGAGCCAAGCTGGAGGGAGGAGCAGGTCAGCCCAGAGTGTCGGGGGCTGGAGCCTGTCCTGACTGCCTGCCATCTCCACTCTGTCCAGGTGAGTGTTGCTGTGAAGTGCCTGAAGCCCGATGTACTGAGCCAGCCAGAGGCCATGGACGACTTCATCCGGGAGGTCAACGCCATGCACTCGCTCGACCACCGAAACCTCATTCGCCTCTATGGTGTGGTGCTCACACCGCCCATGAAGATGGTGAGTACTGTGGGCAGAGGGGTGCAGGGGGCAGGGAGGGGCCTGTTGTTCTGGGCCCGCAGGTCCACCTCTCCTCCTGCCTGTACTGGGGTTACTCCGTCCATCCTGACAAAGGTCACAGGTCCTCCAGATCTTGCTTTGGTCCCAGCCTGATGTGGCAGAGGGACTCACAGGCCTAACCCAGCACTGATTGTGTCTGTTGGAGCTCCGTCCACGTCCGGATTTTGCTTGTGTTCACTGGCAGAGAGTTGCACCCATGGGAGGGACTGGCCCCAGAGTTTAGTTTTTGGCATTGCTAACCTGAGATTCTGGGTTGCTTCTCTGGGCCTCAGTTTCCTACATTGCCTGGAGGAAGAGGCCTGGGAGGCTGTAGGACTCCTGGAGGTCCCTGGAGGACAGACCAGGAAGGAGCAAGGAGGGTGGCTCTGGCAGGCCTCCAGGGAAGGGGCTGAGGAAGGGGCAGGGCTCAGCCACACTTATTTCTCCCTCCTCCTCTGTGGCCTCAGGTGACAGAGCTGGCGCCTCTGGGATCATTGTTGGACCGGCTGCGCAAGCACCAGGGCCACTTCCTTCTGGGTACTCTGAGCCGCTACGCTGTGCAGGTGGCTGAGGGCATGGGCTACCTGGAGTCCAAGCGCTTTATTCACCGTGACCTGGCCGCCCGCAATCTGTTGTTGGCCACCCGTGACCTGGTCAAGATCGGGGACTTCGGGCTGATGCGAGCTCTGCCCCAGAATGACGACCACTATGTCATGCAGGAGCATCGCAAGGTGCCCTTTGCCTGGTGAGGGGCAGGGGCTGCTGGCTCAAAGGGCCTGGACCCCACTCTGCCCTGCCGTGATCCCTACGCACCCAGGCCTCAGAGCTTCCAGGACCTTCTGTACTCCCATCAGCCCTTGTCTCTTCACGGCCTGGGGTGCCCTTGTGTGGCCATCCATTCACTCATCCATCCAGAAATTCTCGATGGCCCACGTGCCAGGTGCTGGAATGCACAGGGATAAGTGTTGTGGGGACCCATAGAGGCTTTCTGGAGGACCCAGTGTTAAGCTCCTAAAATTCCAGAATTTAGCCAGGCAGAAACTAGTTGGTAAGCATGTTCCAGGTAGAGTTGGGGGCACACAGGGCCTTACAGACTGTGGCAGGATGTTTACCTGCACACTGGGGTGTACCTGGCCCTGCCCTGGCTCCTGTGTGAGCTTATCCTGTGCTGAGACCGTCATGATCCTCTGCTATCAGAGGCACACAAAGGAGTATGATCTCCTTGCTTTAGAGTGGGAGGAGTCAGTCCAGTTCTACCAGCCAGAAAACCGTTCTAACTCAGGATGTACAATCACCCTAATTAATTGCTGACCTTATACCTTGGGTGACCATGCATTCTGGTTCATGGCTGATGTCCTGGAGTAATTAATAGCACCCCCTTTCATACTCAGGCATCCTGATTTGAATGGTAAACTGTAAGGTCAGCTTTTCTTGTGTGGCCCCCTTAAACTGTGTAAAGTGAGCAAATTATTTTTATCCCCATTTCACAGGTGAGGAACATGGGACTTAAGAGGTCTTGGGTGACTTTCCCTGGGTTACCATCCCCTTTGAGTGGCAGGGCCAGCTCTCTAGTCCCACAAGAGGCCTTTGATTCTCCCATCGAGGCTGGCTTCCTCCTCACTCTCTGTGCCTCAGTCTGTCCTGAATGAATACCACTTTGCTAGCTTCACTGGAGTGGCATTTTCTCCCTCACCCAAAAGGGGGCCCCAGAGGGAGTGAGGATATTTGGGTGAAGTGCGTGTGACTGTTCCCGCCCATTTTGCTTCTTCCCCAGGCCCTATCCAAATTTCCCACCCACACCTTCCTGCTGAAATGACCCAAATCCTCGGATCCTGCCCAAAATCTGGAAATTGTCATCCTCCCACCACAGTTAGAAAACAGCCTGAGATCTTATCCCTGCCGCGCCACCCCTTTCGCCCCTCCTGGAGCCTCTGCTTCCCTGATGTGGGAAGGTCCCCCTCTTCCCGTCCCCCTCTTCCCACCCCAGGCTACGTGTGGATAAAAGACCTGAGCGGCGATGATGTTGTCCAAGTCTATGCACCCCATAGTTGAGACGCCCCTGCCCTGTCCACACTTTGTCCCTGGTACCTACTGTACTGGGCACATGGGGCAACAACACATGAGCATTTTAGGTCCACTGGGGCTGACGCAGGGGCGGGTGTGCTCTGAGAGGCCTCCTCTTTTACCCCTGCCTTTGCCAGGTGTGCCCCCGAGAGCCTGAAGACTCGCACATTTTCCCATGCCAGCGACACCTGGATGTTCGGGGTGACGCTGTGGGAGATGTTTACCTATGGCCAGGAGCCCTGGATTGGCCTCAATGGCAGTCAGGTGAGAGGGCTGGGGCTGTGCTCCCCACAGGGCGGCTGGGGGTTGATTTGCTCCCTGGCTCATAACCCAGCCTTGCTGGAGTCCCCATTAACCATGTCTTGTGTCAGCACAACCCTTCAGATAGCTGAGCAAGGGGCACGGCCCCTGTGGTCAGGAGCAGTGGCCTGGGGCTTGCTCGCCATCTTGCCTATGCTCTAGCCCCTTGTTTGGAGGCCCCAGACCTGGGGATGAGGGTCAGAGGCCCAGGGCAGTGGCAGAGCTCTGGCTCTGAGCCCAGGGTGCAGGCATGGCAGCCTGTAGTTCCAGCTGTTCCATGGGTGGGGGCAAGGTGGGGGCGGGTGCTCTTCTTGTTCTCACACTGCACCACTCCACCACCAGATCCTGCATAAGATTGACAAGGAGGGAGAGCGTCTGCCCCGGCCCGAGGACTGCCCCCAGGACATCTACAATGTCATGGTCCAGTGCTGGGCTCATAAGCCAGAGGACAGACCCACGTTTGTGGCCCTGCGGGACTTCCTGCTGGAGGTGAGGACTGGTCTGCTCACAGAGGCTGAGGTTTCCAAACAGGGATCAGTCCCAGGGTGGACAATGAGCTCTCTCTGCCCCCCAGGCCCAGCCCACTGACATGCGGGCCCTTCAGGACTTTGAGGAACCAGACAAGTTGCACATCCAGATGAACGATGTCATCACTGTCATCGAGGGGAGGTAGGGAGCGTCGGGGCTGCACCTGCACTGCCTTGAAGGGCACAGGATGGAAGGGCCTGGGGCTGAGAGTTCTTCTGTCCCTGTGACAACACATGGGCTCCTGCAGCAAGAGGGGAGCAGGCCTGGTCCACTCCTGAGTGCTTGACATTAGGTATGCAGGTACTGTGGCTCAGAGGGGTTTTCTCTGCCTGGCGCCTCCTCTGTCACCCTTTTCCCACTTGGCTCCAGCCCTGACTGTGTGGGTCAGGCAGGACCAAACTACCATTATGGCGAGGCATAGAAAGCGGGGCAGCATGGCCTCAGGGCCCAACCGGGGACTCTGGGACTCCTGGACGGTCCTCCTCTTATCCTACCCCCTCTTCCCCCTCCCTGGATAAGGACTCTGGACTCCCACCTGGGTGCCCTTCAGTAGCTCAGAGCAGCCTCTGCTCTCCCACTGTGCCCCACTGCTCCCTCCCAGAGCTCCCCTCCATCCTTTGCTGAGCCTCCCACCCTGGCTCCTTTGTCCCCAGGCTGCCCTGGCAGGGTCTCTATTCCTGACGGCTCCCTCTCCCTCACACCTGGCAACACATGTCTGCCTGCAGGCAGCATCTCATGAGTCACGTCTCCTACCTGCAGCCCCTGAGGTTCAAACCCGCCCCCCTGTGGAGGCTCCACCTACCACTCACCCCACCCTTTGTTATCTGATCCCCAGGGTGTCTGAGGAACTGGTTGAGGCAGGGCAGGCTACAGCTGCTTTTGCGGTAGTGGGTGAGCATGGAGGACCAGGAAGAGGAGCGAGGCAGAGGAAATTCCCTGCACTCCTGGCTCCTCTGACTCCTCTGACTTGGAGCCAGGCAGGGATGGGAGCAGGGACTGCTTCCTACAGAGCCCTTTCTACCTGGACTTCAGATTCGGGGGTCTGGGGCCTTTGGTTGAACCTTGTGCTTCATGGGGGATTGGTGAGAGGGAGAGCCTCTGGGTCTGAGTCAGAGTGATGGAGTGGATCCTGGAGCCGGCTGTGGAGGAGCATGACCTGTACCTGCTGTGGCCCTGGCATCTCTTCTGCAGGCCAGGACTCCCTTAGGGTCCAGTATCTGGGAATAAAAATGACATACCAACAGGTTGAGGGGAGGTGAGGCATGGTTGGGGAGTTAGTGGTGGACAGAAGCAGAAAGCTGCTGGAAGGAGAGAAGCCTGGAGACAGGAAGGAATATAGTCTGTGGTTTGGAGCTGAGGGGAGGGACTGCAGTGTGGCAGTCTGGGGAGCATTCTGGAAATAGGAAGATTGGGGTGAGGGCCCTTCTGGAGGTGCATGGTAGGACCTTTGGCTAGAGTCTGAGCCTACAACCATTCCCAGCTCCAGGAGCCAGAGGGCCTTGGACCTGACCCCTCTTGTGCCCTGTGGTCCCCAGGTCTTTTTTTCCTCCATCCCTTGCTCTCAGTGAGGGCCCATGTACCAGGGCCCAGTGTTCCCCAGGGGGTGACTCAGGGGCTTCATGGGTTTCTGGGGCACTTGTCTCTGGAGCTGGCGCCCTGGGTCACCACCGGAGCGAGGTGGGGAGCAGGAGGGGCCGGGGAGCAGGAGGGGTCAGGGAGCCGCTCCTCCTGGGAGGCCACGTGGGCAGGCCCTGCCCCGCCCTTCCGTCACCGGCTAGGGTTGGCCCAGCTGCTGCCTCCACTGCTGCCTGCCAGTGTGGGCTTGCCGGACTCCCCCCCAGGGCCACCAGCCTGACTTGGACCACAGGGCCTGCCCTTGGTCCCTGGAGCTGCTCAGAAGGTGGGAGGTGAGGGGCAGGAGGCACAACAGCCGGTGAGGCTTTGGGAGTGGGCCTGTGTGTCGGTGGTACCAGAGCTTTAACTGCCCCCTTGTTTCCTCAGTGCCCGAAGTGTGTTTGTTTGGCAGGCTCTGTCTCCATGTCTCCGGGTGGATGGGCTCTCTGTGGGTGTCCCTTTGGGTCTGGGTTTGTACGTGTGTGGGTCTTAGTCTGTTTCGCCGTCTCTCCTTAGCCCCGTGCTCAGCTGTCTCCTGTCTGTGCTTTTCTGCTAGGCTGGGATTCCTTCTTGTGGAAGCTGTCCCCGGTGTTTGTTTCCTAGTCCAGAGTCTGGCAGTGCCCTTGCCCCTGGCTCTGCCTGATTCGTTAGACTCCGTGCTTTTTGGGGTACCAGGCAGTGAGCACAGAGAGAACACCAGATACTCTGTGACCCACTTGTGAGGCTCTGACTGGACTGTGAGGGACAGAGGATGACCACTCTTTTCCAGAGGGTCTTACTGGGAGGCTGGGATGGCTGGCAGTACTTCGATGTTCTGTTTTCACGAAGTGGGGCAGGAAGACAGAGGTTTTGAAGTCCTTGTGCAGGCCCTTGGCCTGGCCTGGTCCCTGGGGCCTCTGCTTCCTGTAGTAGGTGGGGGAGGGGGAGCAAAGGGTATGTGTTGTCCCTTAAGGCCAGGGGCTGCCGGGGACACCCAGAGAGAAGTGCGTAGGATGGTGTTTTGAGCAGAATTTAAGCCACATTTGTCAGCCATTTCGGGACTTGGTAGGCCAGGACTGGGACAAGGGGCTGAGGTTTCCGGAGGCTGGTCCCAAGTAGAGCTGGGGCCGCCTTAGGCGATTCTCAGCCCAGGCCTCGGTTTCCCAGGTGCTGCTTCATAGCTTGCCTGTCCCAGGACGCTGACAGGCATCCTGCTAGAGGTGCCTGTCTATGCTGCAGGGGCTGCACCCTCCTGTTGCTATAAAGACTCTAGGCTGTTCTTGGAGGGGAAAAGGAGGTGTGTGGCCAGAGAAGCTCTGGACTGCTGGCACCTCCACCCCACTGAGCCTCAAGGGGGACGGTGGGCAGGGTGGCGGCATCTCTGGTGTCAGAGTTGACCTTTGTTGAGAGGATGCTGCTTCTGTGCTTGGAATGTTGTTCCCAAGGTGGTCTTTCTTTCTTATGCATAGTCTGCACTCCTGACTCCCCCTTACGCAGTAGCAAAGCCTTTCTGAGACTTGGCGTCAGGACTTCCAGCAGTGATCAAGGGAGCCCTTTCTTCCAGGCCTGGCTCTTCCCTCAGCCATACCTGTAACAAAGGGAGGTGGGCTTGGCTCTGCGTTCACTCTCAGAAATGGGTCTGGGGAGGCTTCTGAGTGAGGGGCTGTGTCGGGAAAAGGAAAGGAGCAGAGGGAGTGACCTCCTGCCAGTCTGGCCCTACTCAGGGTCCACTGGGAGGGCGTGGTCACGGTGTAAACCTGGCCTTGGACGTGAGTCTGTTCCACTGTGCACTGCTTCTCCACCTTCACCTTAGTTAATGAGCACCTCTGAAGAGGTGTGGAGAGCAGAGTCCAGTGTCCAGCTGTGGGCTTGGTGTCTGAGACTGTTCTGCGGAGGGGCATGCGGGACCCAGAGGGCCCATGGGTGTTGGGGGACAGCAGCAGGGGGTCCGGATGCCAGGCGTTCCCCACCCTGCCTCTTGACCTCAGCCGGTCGGTCCGTGGCTGGAGGGTAGGGAGGAGAGGCGTTTCTTTCTTTGGATTGGCCCTGCTATTTTTGGATGGGCTTTGTCCCTTCCCGTGTGTTGTCCTCTCTTCTTCCTTCCGTGCCTTCCCTTCCCACCCGGAGGGCAGGGTGGTAATCACAGGGTTGCTGTGTCTGTGGTGGCCGGCCTGCAGCCTTGTTGGCAAGGAGGCTGGGCTCCCAGCCCTCCCCTGCCACACCTCTTGGCTCCCCAGGGATTGCTGTGCTCGTGGGGTGCAACTTTTGGTCTCTCGAAGGGGCTACTTGGGGATCGTGCTGCCCCGGTGGCCGCATCACCTCACGGAGGAGGATCTAGGTGCTCAGGCCTCACTGCCTCCTGCCAGCCTTCACCTTCCCCAACCCCTCTGGTCTGGCTGCAGTTTGGAGGAAACCTCTCTTTACGCTCCTGGCATGGACAGGTGATGTACGGGTGGGGGGTTGGCAGTGGAGGCCTGCAGCTTGGTGGCACACGTGTCCACCACAGCAGTATGAGGCTGTCATCACCTCTGCGGTAGCCCAGGTTCTGCCCCTGCCCTCATGTGTGAGTGACCCCAGCAGCAGGTGCAGGAGCCTCATGACCTATTGGCTTTTTGGCATTTGAAGCATCTAGGAGGGCGCTCTGTTCTTTCTTGCCCACCTAGCCCGGCTCCCACCCCAACCCCAGTCCTGGGCTTAGGCTGCGTCAATAGATTTTGGGTCTATTGAGTTTAGAGTGAAGGACTGGTGGTCCCACAGTCCAGCCACACTGGGAGGCTAGGTTCCCTTCTGGACCCCTTGTTTAAGATGAAAGTAGAGCTCTCCCCGCAAGGAGGTGGATGGGGGCAAGGGTAAGGGGCCCACAGTCCTGGCAAGGGGAGGCAAAAGGCACTGGAGACATGTGAACTGGTGCGTGATAGCGTGGGTTGCCCCAAGTGCTTCCAAACTCATGAAAGGCTGCTTGAGGAGATAGATTGTGGTTGGAGGGCTTGGCCCTAAGCTCAGTGCTAAGGCCATGGCGCTCCCTTGAGCCACTGCAGCTCAGAACTGGAACTGGGCTAAAGGGTGGAATCGGGTGGCCAGGAGAGGACTGGGGCTTAGGCGTGGCCAGAGGAGGAGGGCGGTGAGGTTGTGGTATGAGACTAACAACTGGATTTGCATCCTGCGTCTGTTGCGCTCTTTTTGGTAACTGTAGGCAAGTCATGTCACTTGTTTGAACCTGTTTCCTTGTTGGTAAACTGTAGGAAGAGCTGCCTGACCCACCCTAGGGTAAGGCTGTGTACAAATGCCAGGCCCTGCACTGGGGGAGTGGCAGGTCCTGGAGAGCTGCCAGGAGGAGGTGGGCTGATGTGGACTACTCTGATCCTGAGGCCTTAGCCCTTGTACACCCTTCTGCCAAAGTGGTCAGATACCATGGCTGAAGAGAGCATGGTATGAAGGGGCCCCCACTCCTTGGGGCCGTCCCACCACGCCCTGGTGTTCACCATGTCATCTCTGTTGGACAGGGCTGAGAATTACTGGTGGCGAGGGCAGAACACACGGACGCTGTGTGTGGGGCCCTTCCCTCGAAACGTGGTGACCTCCGTGGCTGGCCTGTCGGCCCAGGACATCAGCCAGCCCCTGCAGAATAGCTTCATCCACACAGGGCATGGCGACAGCGACCCCCGCCACTGCTGGGGCTTCCCCGACAAGATCGACGAGTGAGTACAGGCAGCGCCCCACCTGGAGCTCCAGGATCAGCAGCCCCCTCTCTGGGCACACGGCTCTCCAGGCTTCCGAGGTCCCCGTTACAACCGTGGGCCAAGGGTTCCTGTTTAGCAGCTTTTCCTTGTAGGCGGAACTGGGATTGGTGCTTCAAAGGGTGGACCTACTTTTTCTTTTGGTGGAAAGGCCCTCAGGTTCCCACCTTAATTCCCTCAGACACTCTGGCCTTTGGAAAATGGACTTCAGAACAGCCTTTAGAAGCAGTTCAGTAGGAAAGGCTCTCTTGATCCCCAGCACTTGGGTAGCAGTTTCCCTTCCTCTGCTGCTAGTATGGGAGTCCTGGAGACAGGAGCTGCTGGCTCAGGTCCAGGGCCGCGAGGCACAGAAAAAGCTCCCTGTGGGGAAACTTCAGAGGGAGTGTTAGGCAGCAGCCTGGCACCCCAACCTGTCTGCTCTCTCTGGGCCTGAGAAGGGGGTTCAGTCTCCTCTAAGTGAAAGGATAGGTCATCTGGGGGCATCTGGGGAGGATACTCAGAAGAATTAGTCACTTCCTGGTTGCCCCGCCCCAGGGAGCCACCTGAGCTCCTCCCGCCAGGCCTAATCCACCGGCCCCACTCACGGCTGCGCTCTCCCCTCTGACTTCTCTGGACACGCGTCTCCAACCCAAGTGGCACAGCGCAGCAGGCCCTTCAGGCCTGCCCCTGCACACCAGAACGCTAAGCTCTGGGAGGGTGGCCCTCTCTCACCTCACAAGAGCCAGGCAGGGGCCGGAGAGCGCAGACACCCTCCAGAAGGAGGCCTGGAGCCCTCTGCCTGCTCCCAGGGCACCATGCCGTGGCCAGCCCCATTCTTCCGGCTTTCATCAGCCTCAGTGACTTAAGTCCCAGATCCTGACAGTCGGCACAGCGCAGTGGTGGCCCAGCCGCTACCCCACCTCCTGGCCACCCTGACCGGGCCATGTGGCCCAGGTGCTGCAGGGCCTGGCAGAGAGGCTGTGTCAGCAGGTGGCTGCCGGGCGTGGGCTGGGGCACTGTGGGGGTGTAGAGGGCCAGCTCTGCCCTTGTAGGGTGTCCTTGGAGCCCCTACAGTCCTAGAATTTTCAACCTGTGGTCAGGAATTCATTCTCTGCCCACCCCCCCACAGTACCCTCCCTTGGTCACAGCTAAATCTACAGAAGGGAGCCACTGGGAGGTGGAAGTCCTGTGCTCCAGACCCACATCTGCAAGGGGCTAGGGCAAGATGGTTCTGTTCTCTGTCTGACCCCAGGGCACAAGCCCAGCTCTGGAGTGTCCTCACTGCCACCACCCCACACCCTTCGCCGCCTCTGACCTGCTTCTCTCCCCACAGGCTGTATCTGGGAAATCCCATGGACCCTCCTGACCTGCTGAGCGTGGAACTGAGCACCTCCAGACCCACCCAGCATCTGGGCAGGGTGAAAAGTAAGGGTTCCCGTGACCCTGGGTCCCCTAGTTTATCAGCTGTCTCCTCAGGCTACCTTGAGCCGCCTGTTCCTGCTCTGGGATGGTTGGGTCAGGGCAGCAGGGGGACAGCTGTGTCCCTGGCTCCAGCTGGGCGTGGGGCGGACGGTGAGAGGCAGCTGTATCCGCCGAGGTGGGCATCCTTGGTCGGTCCTGAGCTGGCCTGCCCGCTTCCCCCCTCCCTCCTACTCCCCACCGTGCTCAGATCCTGGCTCTCCTCACTCCCCCTAATCCTGCTCTCCTCTCCTGAGCCAAAACCACCCCATGGGCTCCATCTTGGCCAGGAGCCTCATCCACCTCCCGGATCCTGGGCCTGTCGCTCCGGAACATGGTTTTCCCATCCTGCCGCCCCATTGCTTCCCATTGCCGCTGGGTTTGTCCGTTCACTTGCGCCCATTCACGTCTCTCTCTCTCTCCTCCCCACCCCCATGCTCTGCCCTCTTGTCTGGCTCTGTCTCCCCTCCCTTGTCCTCTGTTGTTCCTGCTCTGCCCCCTCTATTCTCTGCATGGCCTTTCTTGCAGGGGAGCCTCCACCTCGCCCTCCGCAGCCTGTCATCTTCACTCAGAGTAAGTGGGGCTGCTCTCGGTGCCTTGGCCCCTGCCCCCGCCCCCTCTCTTCTCTCATTCCTCTTCTGGAAGGTACAGAGCCCTGGCTGGCTGGCCGGGTGGGAGGGGAAGCGGGTGTGTGCTGTGAGCTTTTGCTGCTGACCTGGCCCAGCATGCCTGCCTCTCCCCCCACCCCCAAAAGCCTGGGCTTCTGGGACAAGTGTATGATCCTGGCGCCCACCTCTGCCTCTGCCTGCCATTGCCTGGCCCTGCCTCACTCCCTTTGGGGCCTATGGAGGCTGTGTCTGGGCTCTCGTGCCAGCTGATCAGGAGCTCTATCCTCTAAGGATAGTGCCTCTTGCCCTTGATGGTGGGAGCTTGCCCAGAGCCACCCCGCCTGCACTAATGGTGTGCCGTAACTGGGTAGTAATTACTAACCAGGGCCCAGGAGCAGGGGTACTTGGGGCCTTGTGTTGATGGAGGGGGTGTCAGAGGCAGACAGGTGTGGGGTGTTGCTTGCTCTAGCTGAGATGGCGGCAGGGACTCACCACCCCCAGAAAGGGCTGACTGCATCCGGACCAGGTTCTGCCCTCTGTGGTTTGAATAGGGTTTGTGCGCACTGAGAATTTTGACAGCTGAGGGCTGACTTCTGGGGGAACTAGGAGTGAGCAGTAGGTGGGGGATGCTTGGCTATCTTGCCCACACCCCCACCTTTCCCATCCCCCTGCCTGACTCTGCCTCCCTGTCGCAGAACCAACCTATGACCCTGTGAGTGAGGACCAAGACCCCCTGTCCAGCGACTTCAAGAGGCTGGGCCTGCGGAAGCCAGGACTGCCCCGAGGCCTGTGGCTAGCGAAGCCCTCGGCCCGGGTGCCAGGCACGAAGGCAGGCCACGGCGGCGGTGAAGTCACACTCATCGACTTTGGTGAGGAGCCCGTGGTCCCAGCCCCTCAGCCTTGTGCACCGTCACTGGCACAGCTGGCCATGGATGCCTGCTCCTTGCTGGACAAGACCCCGCCGCAGAGTCCCACGCGGGCACTACCCCGGCCCCTGCATCCCACGCCTGTGGTGGACTGGGATGCACGCCCGCTGCCCCCGCCTCCTGCCTATGACGATGTGGCCCAAGATGAGGATGACTTTGAGGTCTGCTCCATCAACAGCACCCTGGTGGGTGCAGGGATCTCTGCTGGGCCCAGCCAGGGCGAGACCAATTATGCCTTTGTGCCTGAGCCGGCGCGGCTCCTCCCTCCACTGGAGGACAATCTGTTCCTCCCACCTCAGGGTGGGGGCAAGCCGCCCAACTCAGCCGAGACCGCAGAGATCTTCCAGGCGCTGCAGCAGGAGTGCATGCGGCAGCTGCAGGTCCCAGCCGGCTCTCTGGTCCCCTCGCCCAGCCCTGGGAGTGACGACAAGCCCCAGGTTCCCCCCCGGGTGCCCATCCCCCCAAGGCCCACACGCCCACGTGGTGAGCTGTCTCCAGCCCCCTCGGGAGAGGAGGAAGCAGGACGCTGGCCTGGGCCTGCCTCCCCTCCCCGGGTGCCTCCCCGGGAGCCCCTGTCCCCTCAAGGCTCGAGGACCCCCAGCCCCCTCGTGCCATCCGGCAGCTCCCCGCTGCCACCCCGGCTGTCCAGCTCACCTGGGAAGACCATGCCCACCACCCAAAGCTTCGCCTCAGACCCCAAGTATGCCACACCCCAGGTGATCCAGGCACCTGGCTCCCGGGCTGGCCCCTGCATCTTACCCATCGTCCGAGATGGCAAGAAGATCAGCAGCACCCACTACTACCTGCTGCCTGAGCGCCCGCCCTACCTGGAGCGCTACCAGCGCTTCCTGCGTGAGGCCCAGAGCCCTGAAGAGCCGGCCCCTGTGCCTGTGCCCCTGCTGCTACCCCCACCCAGCACCCCGGCCCCTGCTGCCCCCACTGCCACCGTTCGACCAATGCCCCAGGCTGCCCCAGACCCCAAGGCCAACTTCTCCACCAACAACAGCAACCCAGGGGCCCGGCCACCAACCCTGAGGGCCACTGCTCGGCTGCTGCAGAGGGGCTGCCCTGGGGACGGGACAGAGGCTGGACGGCCAGCAGACAAGATCCAGATGGTGAGTAGCAGGCCTGGCTCAGGGCAAGGAGGGGCAGGGGCCCAGGGAACCCAGAGGAAGGGGCCTGTGGTGCTGACGGGTGGGTGGGTGTGCCCAGCTGCAGGCCATGGTGCATGGGGTGACCACAGAGGAGTGCCAGGCGGCCCTGCAGAGCCACAGCTGGAGCGTGCAGAGGGCTGCCCAGTATCTGAAGGTACCGCCACCTCCTGCCCACTCTGGCTTTCAGGGACCCTGAAGACTGGTTCTGCGGCTCTCTTCCCACCCACCCCTTCCCTGCCCCCACCCCAGCTCTCCTCTGCCCTACCCTGATCCGTACCCCTCGGCCCCAGTGTGTCCCATGGCACCGCCCTCTGCCCTTTAGGTGGAGCAGCTCTTTGGGTTAGGTCTGCGGCCACGAGGCGAGTGCCACAAAGTGCTGGAGATGTTCGACTGGAACCTGGAGCAGGCTGGCTGCCACCTTCTGGGCTCCTGCGGCCCCGCCCACCACAAGTGAGCGAGCCCCACACCTGCCACCTCCTGTCCCTGAGGGTGTTCCAGAGCACACCACTCTGGGAAAAGCCAACCCCTCGCGGGCCACACACGGCCAGAGACACAGGGCTCCCCAGCCGGGAGAAGAGAAGGGGGCCCCAATCCTGGGGTGCAGACATTTCTCGGTGAATACAGTTCCACCTTGCACATCTATCTAGACTTCAGAGCCACTTTGTTCAAATGAACTGAGTAAAAGGAATTGGTGCCTCTCTGGGCGCTGGGGGCTGGCTTCCTGAGCGGGCCCCAGCGAGCAGCAGTGTAGGATCCAGTGACTTAAACAACTGCTTCTCACTTCTTCATTTCCTGTTTCAGTTCAGAGTAACACTTAAAAGTTCTAATGCCTTTTCAAAGGAATGTCTAACCAAAAAAAATTCATTACTTTCCTGTAAAAAATTTATGTAATTTATGTGTGTGTATATATATATGTGTGTGTGTATATATAAAACAAAATACACAGACATGTAAATAATGTACACGATACAGAATATAAACGTATACAAGTGAAAGTTTCACCACGTCAAGAAGTGGTGCAGTCCTCTCCTGGTAGGTGCTGACGGCTGACAACCTGAGTTAGAGCCCAGCCTTCTCATGCATGGTGTCAGCTTATCTCCTTTCCTGATCTCTCAGGGTCCTCATCTGTGAGATGTGTGTAAATGACAGTGTCTACCTCACAGAGGTGGGTAGAAGAATTAACAAGGGATGCAGCTGTCACACCACGCAGCCAGTGTCTGGCCCATGGGATGCCATGTTAGCTGGTATTTTGTGATAACCACATTATCTCGTGGTTATTCTTACTAATTTGTATCAGTTAATCTAATATACAATACTGCTGTTCTCTTATATTTAGTTTATTAAAGATGGCATCCCAGGTTGATAAGTTCCAAAATTATTGCCTAGAACCACTAGTTTCCAGCTGACTCTGCAGGCACCGAGGCCCTCTCGCCCCCACCCACACTAGACATTCCCTACTCTGTTGCATCGACCCCTGTTGATGGAGGGGCTTTCTGGTTGTTTCCCATCCTTTAGGCGCTGAGATGTCTGGAGAGCCAGAGGGTCTGCCCTGAAAGAACCACTTGAGCCTGTCCAGCTGACAAGGGCAGGGAGACGCCCTGCCCAGGCCTTGAGGGCCTGCTGCACCCGCTGTTCCCAGTGGCAGAGTGAGGCTTAGGCAGCAGGAGGCTGGGAGCACCGCCTTGCCTGCCCCTCCCTCACCCAGTGCTGTCCCTGCAACTTCGGAGCTCTCATCCCCCAGCCGAGGTGCAGGAAGGAGCCTCTTGAAGGAGGTCTGGGGGTGGCCTCAGCAGGCCCTGCAGCTGACCTGCTTCTGGCTCCAGTCCCTGGTAGGGCCTGTGGCTGGAGTGTGTACGCAGGTCCTGTCGGCGGGGAAGCGAGGCTTGACCCAGGCGAGGAGGGTGTGTTGGCCACACAGAAAGGTGCACCAGCACCAGGGGGGCTGGGCCCTTTATTAGGGAGCCCCTGGCAGGCAGTTGGGGTGTCAGAATGTGACTTACGGCCTCACCATGGACATGTTGTAGGACTTGGCTGGTCTTAGGATCTTGTGCCTGGAAATAGCCTGATGTGGCTTGTGTAGCAGAGCAAGGGTGCCAGATCGTTCTCTGGCAGGGACCAGGGCCCAAGGCCCCAGGGTTGGAAGGAGACCAAGGGGGCAGCTGCCCTGGAGGGACACCAGTGCTTCCTCTTTGACCCAGCTCTTCCCCTGTGCTGTTCCATGTCTTCCCACCAGCCTCTGTCGCCAAAGTTGCTGCCCCAGCTATGAATATTTGCTTCTTCCAGAGAAATAAAGTTAGTTTCTATTTTATGTTACTTACTTGTGTCTGCCTGTTTCTTTGCCTGTTGATCAGACACCTGAGGTCTGGGCTCCCCAAGCCACCGCCATCTGTCCCAGGCAGCAGGCCCTGTAGCACCACCTGTGGGCAGAGGGAGGAAGTGCTGGCCTGGCTGACCCTAAGGGGTCTCTCCCTTACAGAGGCTGGCAGAGGGCAGAGTTCCATGAGGCAGGATATACTGCAGGACAGAGTACAGTAACTCAGTCAGCTGGAGCTAAGCCAGATACTTTGATAATACAGACGGCCTCAATATGTATAAGTATTTTAATTTTCCTTTTTTGAATATCTAATAATTTCCATGGCTCAAAATTCAAAATATACCAAAGAGTATACAGTGAAATTTCCCACCCCAGCTGCCACCTCCCCTCTCCAGAGGCTGCCTTTATTATCATCAGTTTCTGGTGTGTTTCTTATTTTTACCCTTTACAGTATTTTGAAGAGCTCCATAGCTGTACTGAAAGGGCATCCCTACCCTTGTTTAGGGTTGCATGGATATGGGTGTTCCATAATCTCTTTAACCAGGCCCCTTTTGATGGATGGATATTTGGTGGTTTCCAGTCCTTTGCAATTACAGCTGTTGCAGCCATAAATGGCAAATGTGGGTTATTCTTCACTTGCAAGGCAATCTGAAGGATGAGTCCCCAGAAGTGGTGCTCCTGAGGAAGAGTGTGTGTGCAGTCGTGAGGGATCCTGCCGGCTTTCTCTCCATACAGGAGGCTGTTCCCCATGTCAGATGCTAGTGTGAGAGGTTTCCATGTGGTACCGCAGCTGTCTGGTTTCTCAGTCTAACATGTGAAACATGGTGTCTATAGTTTTAATTTGCATGTCTCTAATGAATGAATAAACATTAAAAAAATAAGTTGGGTCATATGTATTTCCTTTTCTATGAGCTACCTGTTAGTAGCCTTGAGCCATTAAAAAAGTTAGATTATTAGTCTGTTTCTTACTGGTTTTTAGGAATTTACTGGATCAAGAAATTTAGCCCTTTGAACTTTACCATTATTATCATCTGAACTTTAGGAAAAGAGGTAAGTCATAAGAAAGTAAGCTGATGGCTTGAATTTACAAAAGACAAAGTCCACTCAGGATGGGTCTGGGGCGCTGTCCTTAGTGTCTGGGGCTCTAGGCTGGCTTGCATGGTGGACCTTCAGGCCTGGGAGGTTGATATCCTTCAGATCCAAACATGTTCTGTGTACCCTGTTCCCTAAGGCAAGAATTGAATTATATTTAGCTGCAATTAAAAAAAATCAGTCAAATATAATATCATAAAAGGGGAAAAGTTAGTATTAAGTTAACTTTGGGCATTGCTGCTAGACCTGGATTTCATTTTCAGCTGTTGGATCTTAGAAAAGTTTCTTAACCTTTCTGAGCCTGTAGACTGGGGGAAATTAAATCCTCCTTTATAGAATGGTGAGGATTAAATGAGGTCATATAGGTAGAACATTTTGCTAAGTTCATGGGCCATGATAAGTACCCAATAATCTGAGTCACAATGCATTTTATTTCTTCATGTTCCTGCCTATCTTTGCCAATCAGTCGCTTGTATTATACACTGAACAACTCTGTATACAATTGTCTTCTTTTCCCATTTCTCCCCTTTTTGGAAACAATTTGTTCTTTTGCTACAAAGTCATTCCTATTTTTTTAGATCGTGGGCATTTTTGACTCTATTAAAAAATGTCATTTTTGGGTAAAAGATGGCAGAGCTAATACATTTCAGAAGTATTTCCTGTAAGAGGGATACCAAATCATCTGAGGCTTCCTCAAAGGGTCAGAAGACCCTGTGCTTTTCTTGCCAGACACACAGTTCCCTAAACTCTAGGGCTTCCTGCTGTTTTTTTTTTTTTTCCTCCACTTCTCATCAACCTGCCAGCTTTTGCCAGCATCTCTTGGGTTTATTGAAAAGATCTTAAGGGACGATACTAAAAAAGCTGGGGCAGGTTTGCTGACATGAAGAATTGATAAATCAATGAGGATTCATTGTACACTTTCTCTGTGTCAACCCTGAAGAGGGACTACAAGTTGAATGGATACAGTCTGTGTCCTAGGGGACTGTGACATTGCAGCAAGACAGTGCTCTCACATCACTATGTGCCAGGTGACTTGGCATGGGAGGAGGGGGCTCCGCAGAGGAGGTGACATTGTGCTGACTTGATGGGGAAGAATAGGCATGTGCCAGGAAGGTGAAGGGGCATGAAAGCATTGCAGGTGTGGGGAACGGCATGCGCAAAGCATGGAGATGCGAACTGGCCTGGCCTCAGTACTGAAGTTGGCAAGTCTAGCATCCAACCTTTTGTTAAGTTTCTGGGGTGGGCTGGAAATGGCTTTTGTATGGCCTTGGCGAGTGAGACAGGCCTGGATCATGAAGCTACTGGTGTGAAATGCTGAGTTCTGTGACTTCGTAGACAAAGGAAGATGGCAGAAGAGAAGAAGAGGAATAAAGTCAGATCTGTGTTTCTAAGAGAAATGGCTCTGCTTAAGAGGCTCACCGCTCTACTGCAGCCACGAGTAGAGGAAAAGTCTAGCATGTGGGCCACACTGCACACAAAGAAGATAAAGGTGTTCTTAATTTGAAGTGCGTTGATTTTTAGAGAAATTTGAACTTGGAGAATGGAGGAGGGACCACCAATTCCTGGAATCCTTGGCTAGAGTAGGGGTTCCTGAAGGCCAGTCCATGTCCAGTGCTGGCCTAGGGTCAAATTTTCACCAGCCTGCAGTGAAATGATAAGAATAAGAACCACACCTTTTTTTTTTAAGAAAATAAATAGAAACAGACTCACAGACATAGAAAACCAACTTATGGTTACCAGGGTGGGAAGGGGGTGGAAAGGGATAAATTGGGAGTTTGAGATTTGCAGATACTAACATATATAAAATAGATAAATAACAAGTTTATACTGTATAGCACAGGGAACCATATTCAATATCTTGTGGTAATTTATGGTGAAAAAGAATATGAAAATTAATATATTTATGTTCCTATATGACTGAAGTATTGTGCTGTACACCAGAAATTGACACAATATAGTAAACTGATTATTATGCTTCAATAAAAATATAAAAAAAGAAGAACCACATAACTGAATTTTTCTTAAAATGAAATGTACTCAATTTCAAGGATGGTCTTCTGAGATTTTTGTCTCCCTACACTTTTGGTATAGAAATGGCTATTCTTGCGTGGTGAAGGGAGTGGTAGGTGGTAAATCTGTCCCTGTGCCCTTATGCAGCAATGCTGTGTCTGCACAGTCATCACATCCTCTCAAGCAATTATTAATTTAAATCATATTCCCTGAAATCTATCTTCAGAACGCCTGGGCAAGAGTGCTTTTGTGTCAGGCAGCACCACCTATTGGTGATGTGTGACATTGCAGTCTCTTGGATAAATGTCAGATAGAAGGGAGGGCTAAGATTGTGTAAAGTCATTGCCCAATAAATCAGTTAAGTCCAAAAGAGGCTGGCCCAGGCCCAAGGGTGCTTAAAGAGACTCATTCCAAGGAAGCTGGGAAGGGAAGGAACAGGTTTGCCAATCATCTGGAGCCAAACAGGGGCTACCTAGGATTTGATGCTTGGAAGAGGAACTGAGTGTGGGGCTTTGAAGGAGGCAACCCCTAACTTAGGAAAGAAGACCTGGGCTACCTGGGAGAATGCTGTGGGCTAAGGGGAAAGTCTTGGGAGAACACCGGTGCCCTTTGGTAAGCCCCCACCACTACTGTATTTTTAAATGCTGTTTTTATGATTCTCATATGAGCTTATTGTTGAAATGAAACATTCGGAAAAGCACAATGAGAGAATTAAAATTACCCAGAAAGTCGCTTGAAATTTTGATATATTTTCTGTCAGTTTTTTCCCTCTGCACATACATGTTGTATGTGTTGTGGTTTTATAAAATAAGGTCAAGTGGCTGGTACTGCTATGTACCTGCCTTTTTCACTTAACATTTGGTACTACAAGCAGTTTTCTATATTTTAAAATTCATCTTCTCAAAGGATATTTAAACACTTCATATTTTTCATTCTTTAGAAATGAAATATAGAAAGTCTCTGTGAACACATTATTTTGTTAACATTTTTGCTTTGTAACAAATTATTTTAACAGGCATTGCTAAATGGCTTTTCAGAAAGATTGGTCTCCCTTATTAATAGAAAACCTGTACGGTTTTAAGGAGAGGACTTGTATTCTGATGCTATGTTTAAAAATATTTCTGAATGAAGTGATCTGTTGAGAACAGTCCAGATGGTTGGAGGAAATGGGCCATGAGTTGGTAACTGTTGAAGCTGGTGATAGAATACGAGGGCTCACTCTACTTGAGGGTGAATGGACCTTTCCACAATGAAAAGTCAAATTAAAATACACCGTCTCCAGGTGGGGACGTTCCCAGGGATCCAGTTGCCTCCTCTGAAGCTGTCCTTTTGGAAGTTTCTCACTTCACTCCTCCTGCCACCACCAGGATGGCCCCTGGGATGCACAGCTTCCCTCGTTACACAAGGCAGACAGAATCCCCTTCTCTCACTGGCCTTTGTGAGGTAGAGACAAGGTGGAACTTTTAAAAAGTGGACAAATCCTGAGGGAAACCTCTCCAGTCCTGTTATCACCAGCCTTATCATAGGCTGCATCCTGTGTGTTCCCCCTTCATTCTAAAGGTCTCCTTATCCTTATCCTTCCAACTTAAAGGGTGGCATGAGGTCCAGCAGTGTCAACATCACCTGGGAACCCGTTAGAAATGCAGAACCTGGGCCCTACCCGGACCTACTGAGCTGGAATCTCTGTCCAACCAGGATTCCTGGGTGATCCTCAGACATGATCAAGCATGTTTACACTTGGCAGCTCCAAGTGTAATCCTAAAGAGCTGGCGGGCCACGGGTGGCCCTGCCTGGCTCCTGGAAGCCCTGCTCCTCTCCCTGCAGGGCTGTGCTCCCTGCCCTGCCCTGCCCTCCCCAGGGAACTGTCGTTCCTTCTAATGAACCCCCTTTTCTGAAT